CATTTTGCTGAACTTAAAAAAAATAATAATAAAAAAGGCATGAAAAGAAAAAAGCAAAACTCTTATAAAAGATAGAAACTGAAACTCTTTTCTTTTCAAATCCGCCCACGTTTCCTGAGTGTACTCTCGCTCTTTCTCTCTCTCTCTCTCTCTCTCCTCTAACAAAAGACCAGTCAGAGAGAAAGGTAGAGGAAAACGACTTAAACTAACCTCCCCTGTTAAAGAAGACTAGACCAGTTACACATGTGGTCTGTTAGCTAAAAATGTTGACATGGAAACCATAGCACATACGTTAAATGTGTGACATCAAAGGAGGAGAAAATGACAAGAAACAGAGAGAAGAAAGCTCTTGTCAGACTCTGTTCAGCGCACGTTGCACCGCAAAAGCTTCAACCACAGAAGTGGAAAGTTTCCATGTTGCAGGTCATAAACTGTTTGACTGTTCAGTCCTGATGTCCACCGCAACGTCAAACATACTGTAAATGCATTTATTTTCAATGCTTGATTTTTAGTTAATGTACTTTGTCAGCATGCAGCTCGTTTTCAACAAAAAAATGTTTGGCTTCATAAATTTCAACGCTTAGTAAGTTTATCGGTAACACTTAAAGTCTTTATGTTCATAATGTATGTTGTAATTCATTATAACTTTTCATAAATAATTGTAACCAGAGTTAAAATGCATTATAATAGTTGCAGGTTTGTTTGTCGTCTTTTAATGCATTATACTTTATAAAGGTGTAACAATGAGATTATACACTGCATCATAAGATGCATTACAAGGCTTAATTAATGCATTAAAACTACACTTAAAGTCTTTATGTTCATAATGTATGTTGTAATTCATTATAACTTTTCATAAATAATTGTAACCAGAGTTAAAATGCATTATAATAGTTGCAGGTTTGTTTGTCGTCTTTTAATGCATTATACTTTATAAAGGTGTAACAATGAGATTATACACTGCATCATAAGATGCATTACAAGGCTTAATTAATGCATTAAAACTACATTTATAATGCATGATATATAAAGGCTTTAAATACAGTGTTACCATTTTATCCTCTAAAATGCATCACCAATTCACCTTGCTTTTTAATCACCTGTCAAATAGAGGCTCTTTCCACCATGCAATCAATTCAAGATGGACATTTTCTCCTCATGTTCAAGGAAAATGACTTTTCAATGCATGATTTTGGTGTCTTGGCAAATCTAGAGGAGCAACATTTCAGATTTCTGGAGTATAAAATCTCATTGCTGTCAATTGTAATACTAAAGCGATCTCCCTTATGGTTTTCATTCTTATGGGACGTTGTTAGGATTGAATTTACGGCTTCCTTCCTGGTGCTTTTTGCAATGAAATATCAAGGTTTTGCTTGCTTTATTGTAATACATGCAAACAATAACACGCAGAAGATTGCTCAATGAAACTGCATCTTTCTATCTCCATCACCGTATGTTTCATTAAGATTATATGACTGAGATATTGCTTGTAATGTGTGTCACAGCACGGAATGGCGTTTCTGGTTTCCAATTGTTCAATAATGATCTATCTGCCAATTCCACACTGGCAGAAACACCCGCCGCAATATGAATAAAACATAAACGCGGGGCGGCCAGGCAGTTTTACTGTATAGCTTTGCTTGTCAACTGCTTCTGAGAAGAACCACCCCCCCCCCCGCATAATACGAGAAATGTTATAAATGGGTCTATACTTTCAAAAGCAACCACAAAAACCAAGAGATTTCAGGTCAGAGTCCACTTAAAACACACCATATGGATGTTGTACTGCGGTCAAAGCACATGAAGAGACATTTAGCATTCATGTTCCCGGCTGTGTAAGACTGACTCATATGTGTTATACCGTACTGTTGTTACAATATTTATTTCATAACAGACCATGCAAAGTATATCATGTTTTCAAATTAAGTAATAAGGCACATGAGGTTGTGCTTAAGCAAAAATGGTCAAATATATGTATATATAAACACATATATACATGCACACCGATATATTTGCATTTTTTTTGCATAATTTTTTATGACAATTGAGCACATTTTGACCACAAATGTATAAAATAATTTATAATGAAAAAATTTAATGTAATGTAAAAAGTATTTTGTTTTTTATTATTTAAAAAAAATATTTTTAATTATATTTATTTTGTTATTGTATTTTTGTATTGTTTGCATTGTTTTATTGTATTTTTGTTGTGTTACCAAGCTCTGTTTTTGGAATATTTTCATTTTATTGAATCATTTTATTCCCCACTGAAAGGACACACAGATTGAGGACATGGTTGATTTTAACACCTAGTGTACATTTAGAAAAAAAATCCCAACCACAAACATCTCATTTAACGTTTTATTACGGACAAAATGAAACAAAAAGGCATAGTGACACAAAATGACCTGGCTGGCAAGGAAAGAAAAAACCAGCATTCAAAAAGTAAAAATAAAAAATAAAAGCAATTGTCATCATCATCATTATAATAAAAACAAAAAAACAACAAAAAACAATAGAATTCAAATATTGTAGTTATAAGCAAAATTGATCTCATTTTGTTCATAAATAGAAACCTGTTAAACATTATTAAATATTAACTAATGGGCAACTTGCTGATAACAATTTTCAAATAATTATCATTGCTGACTTTACAAATAAAATAACTACAATTGGCAGGTTTGTACACTAATTTAATGTCTTAGAAGTTATTCTTTTTATTTAACTAAAAATAGTATGCTACAGTAGAAAAAAAGATTAAAATAAAACGTTTGACTAAATGATTTTATTTTTTCCCACAAAACTCAAAGATGAGATCAACACAATAGAACATCTAGCAAAAGCTACTAGAAAACTAGACCCACTGTTGTTTTACTGTGTGTTGTATTATCTCACATTGAGAACATTATAGTTCACCTTTACATGTTATATTGGTGGATTCAACGTCAGTCAAGACCAGGCAAAAGAAACAACCCGGGTTTCAACAGAACTACTGCTTCAGGCTTGAAACAAACTCTATGCAAGTACACAAACGTGAAATGGGGTGCATTATCTGTGTTGTCACAAGTGGCAACATTAACATAAACTGAAGAGAATCTTGCTGAATCATAAGGTTTAATGGCACAAACTTTTGGAAACTGCAATTGCGATGTGTCGGCTAAGTGTTCACTTCTGCATACTTGTGTAAAGTATGTTTCTGGCCTTTGACCTGAAACTGGAACATCTACGCTTCTATACGTCGCATGTAGAACCTGAGAGTAAATCGACAAAGCTGATCAAATCACCTCACGTGTTTGGCTGTGAACATGCTTCGTAAAACCGTACATTTGCGATCTCAGACTTATGGAAGCATGTTTCTGCCACTGAATAAAAAATAAAAAAAAGGTAATTTCGATTTTTTATCTCACAATTCCGAGTATACATCTCACAATCTTTACTTTTTTCTAAGACTTGCGTGATATAAACCCGCAATTCTGACTTTTTCCCTCGTAATTCTGAGTTTATGTCTTGCAATTTTTACTTTTTTTCTCAGAACTGTGTGATATAAATTTGCAATGGTGAATTATAAAGTCAGAATTGCGGGATATAAACTTGCAAATGCAAGAAATGAAGTCAGAATTGCAAGATCTAAACTCACAATTGCAAGTTATAAAGTCCAATTCAGTTTCATTCTCACAATTCTGACTTTTTTCTTGCAATTCAGACTTTTCTTCCGCAATTGTGAGTTTATATCTTGCAATTCTGACTTTTTTCCCCTCACAATTCTGACTTCTATTCTCATAATTGGGAGATATAAACTCGCAATTGTGAGTTATAAAGTTCAATTCAATTGCGAGTTTATATGTCACAATTATAATTTGCAATTGCAACTTTATATCTTACAATTCTGACCAAAAAAAGTCAGAATTCTGAGTTTATATCATGCAATTCTGAGAAAAAAGTCAGAATTGTGGGTAGCACTTTATTTTACAGTACTTTTTCTCATGTACATACTATGTACTTGTAGTAATTACAATAACTAGGTAATAACTAGGTACTAACCCTGAACCTACCCCTAAACCTAACCCTGGTTACCTTATATTACCAGTACTTTCTTGGGTACGTACACTGTAAGTACATTGTAAGTACATGTAAGTACACGTACTGTAAAATAAAGTGCAACTGAATTGTGAGATAAAAAGTCGTAATTACTTTTTTATTTTGTATTCAGTGGTGGAAACAGGCTTCCATACTAAGTCATGTAGGAGTCCGCTTCAAAATCAAAAATGAGTCGCCGATGAATCGGGGAGCCTAAATGGAGAGCCAGGTCATGCAGTCTGTCATTGTTTTTGCCATAGATCTTTTCTGGGAAATCACACCAGTGAGCACAGATTTTAATGCAAGATTGTGTACGTGTGGAAACACTCTTCTGATATCACCTGCACAGGCTGTTCAGTTACACAACGCAACAAATACACTCACACGCTCATTCATACCGGCACGCATTCACAAAATACCATTTAAAATACTAATCAATGAATTATGTCATATTAAAGAAGAAAAAATATCTGGACTTCAGCTGCCCAATTTGACCCCCAAAAAGTGATATTTACAATCACACTGTGACAGATCAACAAAGACCTACGTGGGTCTTTAAAATTACAAAAAGAACTTGTATTTATCAATTTTTCCTTTTACTTATTTCTTTTTTTCTTGTCTATTTTTTTGCGTAAAATTCACAGAGCATTAGTTGAACAGCAACGTATCACCCTCAGAAGAGTATTTTCTTTAAAGTAAAGGACCTGTTATCGGCCAAAAGAAGCGCTATGTTGCAAGCAGAAAATAAATAAAAGTACAACAACAAAACAAAAAAATAAAAATGAAATAAAAATGAGACCAGGAGGAAAGTAACTGAGAAACTACGAGGAGAGTTTTTCCTCTGTTTTAGTTAAAGCTCATTTGCCCTGAGGGCGAATTTAATGGTAGTTTTCTTTATTTTTGTTTGTTTTCGTTTTTGTTATATACATATTTTTTTTGTCATTTTCGTTTAAGTTTATTCAGAGATGGGGTGAGTGCTCTCTGAGATCTCTGGCGGAGAGGCCTGTACATTTTTAAGTGCTTGGTAAAAATGAAAGGATCACTAGTAGTCTTCAGAGCGCGTACACACACACATCCTGCTAAAAACAAATGAAAAATGACACTGAGGGAAACTGATGATGTCTGGGAAGGGTGGAGAGGTGCGGGGGACTCCCTGGTGTTGTTTCATCTTTTCTCTTTCCATTCTCCTTGTTTTGCTTCAAGTGAGGTAGAGTGGCTTATCCCTGCCTATCATACTGCCACTGCGAAACAATGAGAAACAAATGAGCGTTAATCAGGAAAACATTAATGTCTTGCTTTAAAAAAGAAAACTCTAAAAGTTCTCCTGAGAAATTTTTTAGCCAAAAATAACAATTGTGTCATTATTCACTCGCCCTCATGACACTACACACCAAAATTCAAACCAATCCAATGAACAAAAATAAAGATATTAGGCAAAATGTCTGAGGTGCTTGTTTTCATACAACCAAAAAAGCCTCCTTGTTAATTGTTTTAATTTAATATATTTTTAATAAACTGTTTTTATTAATTAGAAAGTATTTTTGATTATTAATTAAACCATTAAAATGGAATCCGAAAAAATAAAAATAAAAAACAGAAAACAGAAAACAGAATTTGGTAAAAAAAAATAAAAAAAATAAAACGTAATTCATACAACCCTAAAGATTTTACGTAATTCATACAACCCTATTTTTTGATAAACTTTTAATAAATTCTTGTTAAATTGTATTAATTTAGCCATTAAACAGAGTCCAGAAAAATTGCAACGGGGAAAAAATGGATTCCAGAAAAATTTAAACAGAAAAAAATTGAATTCGGAAAAAAATAAAATGGATTACTGTAATCCATAACACTCATGCAGAGTACTCAAAGTTTTCTTAAGATCTCTCATGTGACTTTAGAACACTGACTACAGACTTGGAATGACATGAGGGTGAACTAGTCTTTTAACTTTGTTATTGTATGTGTTTTTTATTTTTGCATTGCATTGTTATATTAAACAATAAATAATTCATGCCGCACAACTCTGAAACCACACACATGCTGCCTGCACATGCTCACCGAGTCCCCTGATACTATGACACACGTCTCATGGGACAAGCAGAGTTAACATCATAACAAACACACACACACTGTTTACCTGCAGTGGTTTCCGCCGCATTCCCGGTTGCAGTACTCGCTGTCCCAGTCGGGGTTCTGGCCCCCTGGGTTCGGAGCTCCTGGAGACTGAGACCCCCCCACGCTCTTCTGATACTCGGACTGTAAGTGAGAGAATCCCTGAGAAAGAGAGAGAATACACATATATTATCAGCCGTTTTTTTGCCAGAAACAAATGCAAGTATGCAAACATGAATGCTTAGCCAATGCAATGTAAGTGTGTGGCCCTGATTTACATACTTAACATACTAAATTGGTGCACTAAATTGTAAACAAATTCTAAAAAAAAAAGTAAAGCATGCTAATTAAAAATGTTACTTGCATTCTAAAAAATTCTAAGAAATAAACCTATAATTTGTTTCTCACTTCTTTTCAACAGTTGATAAAATGTTTTCTTTTATTGCTTCACTGCAGGAAGGTGCTAAACACTGATGGTGCTTTGGAAAATCAGACCTTTTCACTTCACACAACATCTTCTGATAAAGACAACACCTCCAAAACAACACATCCTCCACCCCAGTTCTCACTTCATCTCATTTCACCTCACACTGCATCCGCTAACTGCATGCTTAAGATGACCTGTCCTTTTACAACTTCATTTGGTAACACTTTCCCAACAAGATTCGTTCCTGCTAAAGTTCTGAACACCACTATTACTTTCTTAAACAAAAACCAGGAGGTATACACTGTGTGTTTCATTGGTTTTTCCAATAAAATAAGTTTTTAATTGGCAAGTTCGGAATGAAATACTACCATACTGTTTACTGCACACTGCATATATTTTTAAGAGCAGTATGCAATGATAAACATTTCTAGAGTTATATTCACTGCATACTGCATACATCAATTTTTTTTTTTTTTGCACTATGCAACAATAAATGTTTTTTTTTTTATTGTAAGATCAACTGTCCTTTTACAACTTCATTTGGTAACACTTTCCCAACAAGATTCGTTCCTGCTAAAGTTCTGAACACCACTATTACTTTCTTAAACAAAAACCAGGAGGTATACACTGTGTGTTTCATTGGTTTTTCCAATAAAATAAGTTTTTAATTGGCAAGTTCGGAATGAAATACTACCATACTGTTTACTGCACACTGCATATATTTTTAAGAGCAGTATGCAATGAAAAACATTTCTAGAGTTATATTCACTGCATACTGCATACATCACTTTTTTTTTTTTTGCACTATGCAACAATAAATGTTTTTTTTTTTTTATTGTAAGATCAACTGTAGCATCGATAAATATTACTATGGCCATGTTTGGAATGGAGGATATGTTGTATATTGCATAAATTAAAAAAAATTAAGAGCAGTGTGCAATAATAATACATTGTTTTTTTTTTTGCACTATGCAACAATAAACAGTTCTAGGGCTGTTTACAATGAAACACTAGAGTACTGTTTATTGCATACTGTAGAGTTTGCATTGTATACGGCTTATTTTAGTATGTGATGCACTATGCATTATGCAACAAAAACAGTAAAGAGCTAGACAGTATTATGCAACCTCATGTTTAAATGAGCAAATGATGCCAATAATCATTTCAGGGGAAAAACATGTCATTTGCATTTAGAAAATCATATAAACGCTGGAAATGGAAGGTCAAGTTGATTGCATTGCCTTATGGGACACAGTTGCACAATTTGGCAAATTTCTATGCACCGAATTCAATGGCAGTGTGCCCCCTCATAAACACAAGCACGTGCGGCATTTCCCAGCATGCAAACTAACCTGCTGTCCTGGGGGTGGGGAGTGCAGCGGAGCCTGGAGGCCCATCTGGTGAGAGATGATTGGCTGCGACTGGACTTGCTGCATGCGGATTGGCTGGTTGAGGAGGGAGCCCTGGTGCAGAGAGAGCTGCTGGTGGAGGGGAGGGCTGATCTGGAAGGACGCTGGGGGGGAGGCACTGAGCGCGGGCAGCATGGCAGAACGGGGCAGGCCGTGTCTGGGAGCCCCCACCGCGTAGCTCTGGAGGTCCGAGAGGGGGAAGGGGCTGGGGCCCAGGTACGGGGAGGAGGGCTGGGGTGGGACGCTGTACAGGGGGGCATTGGGGCCCATCATGTGTGACGACGGCTGACTAGACTGGGCGCTTTTGCTCTCCACCGGATCACTGTAGGTCTGACAGAAAGAAAGACAGAGAACATGCACATCATATTTATGCATGTTTATATAAATACTACTATATAACAGCAGCAGGTGCATGAGTTTAAACACTCTCAAACTTCACATTTCCCACCAATTCGTCTTCTGCTTTAGTCTCAAATACGCTCTTCATCCGCCCAATAAAAAAGTGCATAAAAACGAATTCATGACCAAAATGATGCATCATCTTTTCAAGCTTTGAGATATGAAAACAATGTGGATTTGATTTAATACTGTCATTAGGAATTATATTATCAGTAGAACAATATGAGTGAGAAATTGACATGAAATATAGTCTTACACGGTAAAAAATTATTTTTCTAAGTTGTAAATAAAACAAAGATTATTAAGAAAATACTATTTTCAGTGTTTCTGCTTCAGGTTTAATTCTGTTACTTGCCATTTCTTTGTAAATAATTGTGAATTTTACTAGCAATGAGTGAAAATTGTTTCTAAACACAATTTTTTTTCCCTATAGAATTGGCACAGACTCCAAAACTTGCTCACCTTTTCCAGCATGATTTGAGAAAAGCATCTTTTACTTCAATGGAAATGAGACACAAGATCTCTTTACTCTCTTTGGCAAAATTAAGTCTCTTACTGTACTTCTCAGATAGTTCATCATATTTTCCTCCTTTTCAATGCATATAAACACATCAGTGTAAGCATATGCCAAAAACAGATTTTGATGAAATATTTAATTATATGCAATGAAGGACGGCATTTAAGAAAGGCATCTCATGCTGTGCTCAGATATTCCAAGATCCAAATCTACAAGATCTCAAAACGTTTCTCATCAAATGACTCATTCCCATCTATTTTTATTTCTCCTGATAAATTTCAGGAGAATCATTTTTATTAAATGAATCATAAATGAGCATTGTCCTTGAGGAGGTTGTGCAACAAACTCATGAAACACGTGCAGGATCGTCAGTGTTTAGACCAGCAGAACCACAGTGAGAGGGAAAACTATCAGCAATCGCACAAACACATCTCTCTGTGATTTGTCAAGCTGAGAGCATGTGCTTATGGCAGAGCATTGTTTCATTACTGTTTTACACAGGAGCATGCATCGCAAATGGCAATATGTATTTCAAATGCCAGTGCGTGATGGCCATTCGCTCGTGTTCATCAGCTGTCACCATCATAACGCCTCGTATATATCGAGCAGAACATCTAAACTGATCGACATGAAAAGATTGAGGGACGAATCCGCGTCTGCAGAGGAAACGAACGAAACCCAAATGGGAAAGCGAGCGCTGTTTGAGCGAGTACATCTGCTTCTGACATTTTCAAACATCTCTCTTTAAATTAAACAAGTGGAGATTGTCCAGGTCCTGAATGTACATCCTCATACACCATATGAGCAGTTTACTCTTCATTTTCACCCAAAAATCAAACTTCTGTCATCATTTACTCACCTGTATGAGCTTCTTTCTTCTGTTGAACACACAAAATTTTTTTTTTTGAAGAATGTTGGTTGCTGGTACCCATTGACTTCCATAGTATGGAAAACAATACTATGGAAGTCAATGGGTGCCAGAAACCATTTGGTCACACATTCTTCAAAATATCTTCTTTTGGGTTCCAGATAAGACAGAAATTCATACAGGTTTGAAACAAGTTAAGGGTGAGTAAATAATGAAAGAAGTTTGATTTCTGGGTGAACTGTCCCTTTAAGTATCTCTGATATTCTTAACTAGATGAAATTATGACATATTATTCTGATTTTAAAAATATAATGTCCAAATTTACTTTTACATAAACACAAACCCATATTTATCTAAAACCTACTAGACAGTGATGCATCACATTATAAAATAGCTGCAGGCGCTTGAGTTTAAACACTCACAAACTTCACATTTCCCACCCATTCTTCTTGTGCTTTAGTCTCAAATACACTCTTCATCCTGCCAACAAAAAAGTGCATAAAAAACCTCATTTATGACTAAAAAGAGTCACCCTTTTTTCATGAGCGTGCGTTTCAAGTTTTGAGCTGTGAAAACGATGTGGATTTGATAGTTTTTCGATCATATTTTCCTCCTTTTCAATGCATGAGAGTATTCAAACACATCAATCAAAGCATCTGGCAAACACAGAATTTGCGTTTTTCAAAAGAGAAACAATGAATGTAAAATTAGTGGTTTGAAATCGCTGCGTTTTATTATGCAGATGAACGTATGCGATGAAACGACAGATCGTGCTGATTTCTGCTCATTTGAATCTGTCAAACGGCTTTCGCGAATTTGCTGTCGATTTATGGATCGTGCAGGCAGTGCAATCTAATAGATTAAAACAACAGTTAGTGACCGCAGAAACATGACAGAGATGAATATCACTGACACAATTATGTATAAGGTTTGAGCTAATGATGCTATTTTTGGGACTGTATACACGAGCGTGCCAACAGAATGAAGAATGAGCGTCTGAAGGATCCGTTCACACAGAAATGAAGAATCTGTCATCATTTATTCACTCTCATGTCACTCCAAACCTAAGTGAGAAGGAGAATTTTTGAAGAATCTTTACAAGGTTCTTTACTATGCAACATCAGTTGATAATCATCATATCTGTCACAGTGGTATTTTGGGATTATTTATATGGCATTCTTGCAAAAAAAAAAAGTATATATATATATATATATATATATATATAT